ATGAAAAGACAAGTTATAAACTACAAATGATCAAATACTGTCATAAGTATTCCTCATTCTAATAATGTGCCTCTCAAATCTCTAAAAAACACTCTTCTAAAAACTTTCTCAGCTATAAAGTTTTAATTCTGATAAATTGTACAATATATTTAAGTTGTAGATGATAAAACTGATTCTAGCCGGCGTAGTATGATCAGTGTAATGACTTTGTCTATCATAGAACTCCCTAGTATGTTATGATATATCAAGTTATAGCTGAGAATACCGCTACATTATTTAAATTCGGTCAACATCGACTTTAGTCAGGCTATCTGAAATAAAATTACACCTAGGCCTCAAGGAATAAGTATTATAAGATGTATTCCTTTAACTAATGAAAGCAACCTATATTCAATAACCTCACAAAATCTTAAATTTTAACCCGTTCATGGATGTAATACTAAGTGGATTGCTCCTGATCTCGTGTCTAACTGTAATCCAAACTTTAATGACACAATAGGATTTTAAACTATAATAAAGTCTTAGATGGTAGAGGTGACATTCAGGATTTCTTTGACAATCACCTTCCAATGCTAAAGGAAATGTGAGTGTCATTATTTCCTGTCCTAGTTGAAATGATTAAGAAATCTTCAAGTTTGAATTATAAGCCATCAATAAACAAACCGCTGTTAAAGCATGTAATCTTCTGATGTTCTAGCGATCTGGGGTACTCTAATATTGAGAGTATTTACCCGAACAAGTTCAAGCACCTTTATGAAGTTCAACGTTTGTAAGTTGCCAATATGTTATTTACATCGTTATAATAATTAAGTAGCTATAGATAAATAAAGCGACTTGAAAGAATTATTATTAGTACAAACTTTCAGTTCTCCAGTCTATCCTAGTTTTCAAGCTTGCAAATAAAATGAGTGGATGATCATTCATACTGTATCAATCGAATTTTAATTGCTACTTTGAATTCAGTAATTTAAGCTAATAGCATTTATCATTTATTCCCTTCAATTTACTCATTGACAGTTTGCGTGAATGCCATGATTCGATGTTAAGACACTGCATTGTAAAGATTAGAATGTTAATGTTTATGATCATATTACAAACCAGCTCTGCGATAACATTTATGTAAAAACAAATTTCTAAATTTCTAAAGTTTTCGGGATTCAGTATCTCTTAACTACTCACAAGAACGAAGACGACTTTGCATCTACATTACAAAACTAGAGAACCGATTTTATTCAATAGTCTGCTGAGCTTAAATATCTTTCGGCAGCCGCTAAAACATTAATGAATCATCTTACACCAATAATTATCAATATGGATATCTACTGACTGATTTCACCTACAGTAATCGGACTATAGTATATCCTCTCATACAGTCTTTTCAATACACCTAGAATCTAACATTAGGCAGAATTTCAATAACAAGAGTTTGTACTGTATGCCATTACTATATAAGAATTGCATTGCAGTCTAACATATAATTTACTGTTACAAATTATAACTTCAGCGATTCCTACTGTAAGTGATTATAATTACCATACAAAAATGTTAATTCACTAAATTTAGTCATTTATTTCTTCAAAGTAGTTCGAACCTTGACAAAGCCGGTAGATTTTACGTTAATTAGAGAACGTTCTATGTAAGGACATAATATAACCTAAGTATCTAGTCATTAGATATTAATATATTTAAATACCACTATCTTTATTAAATATTTGAATGTAAAATCGCCATCTAATTCATTGGAAAGCTTAACGCCTAGCTAACCAACTAGGACGCATGAACTATATAGAAGTGTTCAATCTATGCAAATCACGATCCATTGTATAATAACTAGACTTCTAAAGAATCAATATTTAACGTAGACGGAGTGGTATTTAAGTCATTCCTGTTTGTAGAGCAATAGTACTCCTGATAAAGCGAATATTATGCCCTAATACCTTGTATAGTAACATGACCTATAAATCGTAAACTACGTTACTTTATTGCAAAACAGTTTCTTGATTTTCCACCATTGCACAAAAACGCTAGCATGAACAGGATGAACCCATTTTAATCTTTTCCAAAGGCATTCTACTAGTATGACTTTATGAATAAAAGTTCTAAGTCACATTCATTTTACTTAAAGGTCCATTAGCCATAACATCATTAAGGAGTTGAAAAACAATGCATTCTTTCCATTTGCCAGTTTAGAAATATTGTAAGTTAAAACCAAATTATATAGTAAATTAAATTTTCCCTAATAATATTCATTACATATGCTTATTTGATAAAACTGGTATAAATTGTATTAAAGAATGCAATAATATCAAGTCTTAAGTTTAATCATCATATTCTTCAAGGTTACTGTCAGTTCTTATTTCTTAAGTTAATGTAATTTCCTAACAGAGAACTACAGTGTAATGAAATAGCAACAATTGAAGCCGGAGCATTTAATGGACTGGATAATTTAAGGCATTTGTAAGCTTATAGATAATACAATGTATGATAACTCTCAGATCAACGCTGCCAAAGTGCAAATTCCTGGCGATTTAAAAATTTAGCAGCTCAAAATTACAGCTATGAATAGGACTCTAAGATAGTATTAAGTATAGCTAATCAAGGCTTTAAAATCATCTTATTTAATATCTAGAAATTTAGAATGGAATAAGATCGCGATTATGGAAATTAGCGTCTTGGACGTACTTCCAAATTTGATTACTTTGTAAGAAATTCAAAGTTCATCAGAATTTTCACTATTTTGCTCTATATTACGAGAGAATGGTCCACTAAAACCATTGCATTAGCTATAATTAAATTCTAATCAAAATAATTACCAACTTGTATCTAGGAAAGGCAGCCACAACCAAGTAAAAAATTGGATAGTTCAGAATCAGACCGAATTAATGCATCTGTAAATAACTATTTATCAGATTGTTTTCTATTCCTCAAATTGAACTGTTTAAATCATCTACAAGTATTTCTAGTTGTATTAAATCTGTTTTTTCTAATTCTCCAATAATTCTAATCCCAAATGATTCAGAGTAAAACAATTCATTAGAGGGCTCTCATTAATAGAAGTCTTCAACTGCAGAATATAATCTCAAGTACAAAAGACAGATTACGTTACCTTAACTGCTCATATCCTTAGCCCTTTTACAACCCGAAGATCGTAACAAGAATTACTGAACAAAATCTCTTAACTTCTAGACTCAGTATAAGAACGAAAATTCTACGATTACTATAGTTTCCTACGAAACTTAAAATGGAGTATCCTTTTGTATTAACAACATGACCATACTTGTATTTGTATTATTAGCTCCATAATATTGACCACGTTACTATAGCCTACGCGATAACACACAGTATCATATTACTCTAGTATTACATTTAATGCTGTCACTAGGCAATAGTTTAAACTCCTATCTGATTAGTATCTAGAGATCTAAGATCGTATAACTCTACCTTTATTTTTAAAACTGATCCTCATTATATAGACCACAGAATACACATAAACATATTGTTTTAACTTAGATATCAAGAGGTATCATGACAAACACGAAGACATATACTCTTAGATAAATCTGATTCAGCATCACCTACTGTCTAAATTAACTATTCACGCCTTTGAAATTGCGCTTATCATTACAAAACTACGGTCAATACTTTATACCAAACTTGGTGTTCAAATCGAATAACATGAGCTATATATGTAACCTTTCTAAATATCTACATATCCAATTGAATAACCTAACCTAAGAAAGTACTGTTTACCATATGTAACTTCACAAAATACGACAGATGCTGTGAACTTATTAGTACATTTCTGTTTACTGTTGCTAATCGAAATTTGTTACCGGAGAATTTAAAACCATTGATTGCCAATATACATTACCAGCCTACCACCAGGTCTGTCTTCCCTTGCATCTACTTACAATATGGAAGTAAATATTAACGCTCTCTTCATTGTCAGAACATTACAGTAAACTATACGCCTCTTTAGACAATACTGAATCCAAAGTTCATATTAAGATCAACGTTATATAATTAATCTAAATAGCTATCCATTATCTTTACACACAAAAAATTATAAAATTAGCAGTTATCTATTATAAAATGTAAGGCATAATAGATAAAGAATTTTAATAAATTCCTACTTAATTAAACCATATTTTGAAAACTATGCTCTGCTGTAACTTCGCAACAATAACATAGTTACATGACCATTTTTGTATTTCCCCTACGAAATATAATGAGATTAATTTTATAATTTTTTTCCCTTAGAAACTTAGATCATAATCGTATCAATAATATCTTAAAAGATGATTTAAAGTATCTAGCCGGATTAATTAAAATGTAAGGGAGAATTTATTTCAATTTTTGCATAACTTTAATGCTACAGCAAATAAAATTGGGTAGCTTATGATTTTTTATTAGCAACCTAGCAGAAAATGAAATTAAAGAAATTAGCCAAGAAAGTTTTCAGAATCTTGTCGATGTAGTAGACATGTAAGAACCTACATAGTACTGCATATGCCTACATTTCAACAAAAATTTATTTCATCTGCTGTAAACTTCAATATAATATTCAAAACTGATAACCTTTCGTCAATTAAGTAAGTTCTTTATCTAACGATTTACAGTTGTTTAAATGAAAACTCAATCAGTCGTTTAGATCAAAACATGTTTCATGATTTGCCGGAATTAAAATACCTGTAAGATATACCTGATATCATAATAAATATATAGTATCTATTTTAATACTTTGGCACAGATCTATAAACTAACTTTGATCATAATTTTATTAGCTGCAACCTTGTATATTGGCTTCATAACGTAAAATTTATAAATATGTTTATCCATCAAAAGGCGACTAAACAGAAATAACATCAGCCTAATTACTAATCCATTCCGAAATTTGCCTAAATTACATTTATTGTACGGTTGACTTGTGAATAGAAATTTAAATCTTATTATGCAGAGCCTTTACTGCATTTTCCCATTTTTATTAATTTAGCTTCAATGTATCAACTAATCAAATAACTTTCCATCATTATTTTTCTAGGGATTTAAGTTTCAATAAAATCGGTACTGATTTCATATCTAGCAGTGTCTTTCAGAATTTAACTTCCATTGAAATTTTGTAAGAGTTACTTAAATGATCTCTAAAAATATATCGTATTTTCATGCAAAAATGGTAAAATTAACAGTAAGATGTAAGATATTAGCTTAACCTTGTGAGTTTTTAATAAATTAAAAGTTTAATGCTTACATTAATATTTACATTAATGTACAAATAATCATGTTATGAGCTTAAGCTTGCTAATGATTTATTCTAGTTAAGTTGAAGCTCTAAAATATTTTAAATACAATTGCAGAAATTTGGAAAACAACCAGATTCGGGATTTAAAAACAATTTCCTTTCGAGACCTAATAAATCTACAAATTTTGTGAGAGAATGAAACCGGATATTTTGTATACTACTCATATAATTTACATTGATCTTAATTTATGAACGATAAAATGCAGAACATACTTTTCTATACTTATACTTGGTAAAATTTTAGGTGTCTTCGTAACAATTTGGTATCGAAAATTCCGCCTTATACTTTTCAAGACCTAAGAAAGTTGCAAAAGCTGTGAGAAAGTTTCTCCTTTAAGTTATGATTAGCAACAGCCTTAACAAATGACTTTCTTAATACGTAATTCAAAGCAGTAAAGCTATAAATTAATATTCTTATTGATATTTTAGGATTGTAAAATCTATTCGGGATTGAACAACTTAAGTGATATTATGACAATGATTGTATAATTATACAGGCAATTACAGCAAAATAATATCATATCATTGATAGAAAATCAACTTGAAGGTTTAAATAACCTGCAGATATTGTATGAATATTTTTATTGATAATTAAAATTTAACTCAAATATAAATCAACAGTTATCATACAGCATATCATCAGGCCATTCTTATTCTAGAACATTAAATTAGCTAATGGATATATTTTTCTCTGAAGAAATTTAGGCAACAATCCGCTAAATCACATTTCTGGAAATTCCTTAGCAAACTTAAGAAACTTAACATACCTGTAAGCATCTAAATTTTAGAACTTGTTTATAAAGTTATTAGTTTAGATATAAAAATCATATTCTAAGTTCTTTACTCTATAAACTTAACCAGTATATTTCATGCACATCGGTGATTTATCGGTAAGAACTTTAATTTAATGTGATTGAAGCACCTATACTTAAAAGATAAAAAATAAGAATTTCAGTATCGAATTCTGATTAAAAGAGTAGGCATAAAGGGATAAAAGTCCGAAAACGAAAATTATAAAGTTGTAGAGAACTAGAACTTTATTAGAACAAAGACAAGCTACAAACGGCTCTACCCTAACACAATACAACTTCTGAGAGACTTCTAGAAAGAGCAATCAGATAATTTAATGTCTCCTGATATTATACTCTTGTTACAGTGTTAAATACTGTATTACAGTAGAAATAACTATGTTAGGATAATTCTGTTAGACTATCCTTATTTAGTTAACTTCTAATTTGGATATACTGTATTTTAATATAGCACTGACTTTTTATGACAGTGACACTTATACACATACTGAAATTATAATAGTTATAATAGGGAATGCAAATCATCTGCTTACAGTTCGAATCATTGTGATTGTAATTTACTTATGGTAGACTGTAAATTATCATAAATATGTTCCGTGATAGGACATATCGTAATCTGACTATTCTGTATTAGTCATTACATGTCTATGTTCGTAAATACTGTTGTCTGCATTAAGGGAGCAGTAGCTAAAATTAATATCTAATTCAGTAAATGATTCTAATGTTAATTGTATTAACTATGACTCATGAACTATTGAGGAATAGTATATAAATGCAGTATATCGTGAAATAAAGAAGAATTGTCCAACTTAGTGTTTAACGTAAAATACGAGGCGTTTAAGTCTTTGTGTAGTCTGCTAGTAGAGCAAAAGTGTTTGTGATAGTGCAGATATCGTTCCTTGATACGTGGTTCAAGGAATTGACTTATTGATCGTATATTGCGTTATCTTGTTGCAAAGCTGTTTTGTGACAACTCTCCATGTCTTGCACAGCTGCAATCAGCATGGCAGCATTCTATCATATTTTACACCTATTCAGCTTATTATTAGGCAAAATATTTTATTGCGAACCGTCATTAATCTAATATAAAAATGATTACAGTATTTTAGTACACATTATTCCTACCACTCTAAGTACAATGAATTAAGGATATTCTAATAAAGGATTTACGATTCTATTTCTGCCATCTAACCTTATTAGTAGCTCATCATCTTACTGCATATAGCCATCTGTACTTTAGCATAGAGTCTATCCTTACAGTCTATAATTATGGGCTACTAAATATATCTTAAGATAAATGTAGAAAAAGCACTACCGTACATCACACTAAATATGGCCAATAGTTTACAATCATAATACTTGGTTACTTTATACGTAGAAGATATATGCATAATAATTTCTGTAAGTAGATAGCCTAAATATTCAGCATGATAGTAAAAATCTCTTACATCATAAGTGGCAGAAGTTTTTCAAGATGTACATAATATTAAACGCTGGTGATCTTATAATTTGGATAGAAATCTGATGGGAGCAAACTTGGTAAAGCTATTCCCATTCCCAGGACATGCTCTATCAAAAATGAAAATATTGTGAGTTTTTTGTCGAAAGCTAGCTTAAGCACTTGATTATATTCTATTTTCTGACAGTAAGAGCTTTTTAGGTCATGATAACACCTTAGAATCTTTAATATCACAAAACTTAGGCATTATAAAACCTCATATGACTACTTTCACAAATGATTGTAATTAATTAATCTGAACAAATGCGTTCGACTATCTTTTCATTAACACTAATAGAAATCTGTCCAGAAATCTCTTTCGAAGCATTAGCTGGCAACCCCAAACCGAATATTTCAATTTTACATCTATGTAAGTCAAAGCATATATAGAAAGCATAAAATTGTACTTGGTCTGCATTCTAGCTGTAGTTAAATATCGCTCAACAAAATCTAGTTTAAAAAAGTTTTAAATAAATAGAAACCGTAAGACTGTAAATTTTGTTTACTTTCAGAGATTTTTCCTACAATTCCATATCCAAGATTCAAAGTATTAATTCCGTCTACTTGGTAGAGTCATTGTAAGTAATCATTATAAAATCTGCTTTCGTTGAAGATAAAGATATAGCAATGTTATCTTAGTTTCCATACAATCATGCCGTTTGTAATTATTACACAGTAATTTATCATTCAACTACCTGACCCAATTATCCCACTTACGAATTCGAAATATATCACTAATCACAAATCTGTAAGTTTTCTGGGTATGAAAATAATCATGAGTATGCGTTACAATCATACCTTGATCTTGATTGAAACCAATTTAAATTGTTATCTTTGCTTAAAATTATTTTTCAACTATCAGATATATAAATTACAATTTTATTGCCAAAATTGGCATCCATGATATGAAAGAATCGATGAATATAAATAACATAAAAAAGTTGTAAGTAAAATTTTCACTACGTATCATTTTTAGCCCCTAAAATTAAATATTATGCAAAAACACATACATTATTTGATAACATTTTATTTGGTTAATTAATACCTATCTTATATAATTACAGAGTCAATCAATATCAATTGACTTTAAAAAATTTTAACTTCTATATACGAGACTTTCTAATCAAGCCTCAAATATGTTTTCAATTTCAGAGATATGTCGCATAATCGAATCTCTTCCATACATCTGCAAGCTTTTCAATCAGCAAAACAATTGAAGGAAATGTATGTTAAGTGCGCTAGCTTATAAATTTTCAATGTTTCACGTCTTCATTTCCATATCATCATAACTACTAGCAGCACTATTAAATTTACAAATTGCAAAAATGTGCTATAGCCATGTCTACAATGACACTAAAAAGGTTTAATGCTCGAATTCTTGCAAATATAGTTACCTTGATACTAATTACCTAAGAAATTTGAAATTTACTTCTATGATGCCTAATGTAAAGGTTCTGTAAGTATCAACTCAAAAATAAATACTGAAGAAGCTAAGCATTCAGTTACAATATTCTTTTGACAGAGATGTATTTTAAATTTGAGTTATTCATGCATTCATAAATATCTGTAATCCATTTAATTATGGAAGAAACATATTTTAAATTATTATTCAGCTACCTATAAAAACTGCAAAGTGCTCGAATGAAATAATATTGTAACCGCAGTCTTATAAAAATAATACCTGAAGTAACAATGCAGTCAAATTATGGAGGCATTTATTTTAAAAGTATTCAGTTTTCACAATGAGTCACGAGGCGATTTACGATTTAAGCCCATTATTAAAGTCTTTTATAAATTCTAGTTCAGCATCCTATAATCAATTAAGCCACTTTCAAAAATTCGAAAATCTGCATCAATTAGAGATTTTGTAAGTAATAAATCATTAAATAAATACCATTATGTAAGTAAATCGTACAAAAATTGTCAAAATATTAAAATATGGTTGCTGTTAATGTAAATGATGCATCTAAAAGGTTACTAATTATCAACTATCTTATAACCATTCTAAGTCTCTTACACACAATTAAATTTTTACTTCAGAAACCTATCGTGCAATCCATTTCAGAAGTTCGAAGCTAAAGCATTATCGGGTCTTTCTAATATTATAGAATTGTAAGTAATGTAAATTTTCAAAAGTCCTTTAATAAGTTATTATGCAATTATTTGTAATACTGCTATCTTACAAATAGTTCAATCGAATCTATCTTCAAAGATGGTTTCGGCTATTTTTGTACCTTTTCAAGTGACAAATAGTAATCGAAATAAGTATTTCCTTTAAAATATTGCTTAATTGCTTAAATTATTTCGTCTTGCAAACACAAACATCAACTTTAAATGAATTTCTGGAGCTATACTACATTCATTTAATTACAATATATTGGGCGTTTATATTTTCTCTCACAGGCATTTGGAAAATATCAATTTGTATTCCTGGGATAATTTGTCCTTCAGTGGTTTATCAAAGTTATCAAAGCTGTAAGCTACTGATTATTTCACCTTTTTGCTTCAACTTATTGC